ACTAGATCAGCTGAGCGACGTTAGTCGCCTAGATCCAGGCCCGTAATGAAACAAATTGTACGTTCAAATTTACAAAGACGATTTGCGAGCTCAATGGTCACTGAATTGAAAAATTGTATAACACTTTTTTGTTGTATTTTGTGTCAGGAAGCCATGGTTTCTTTTTTAATTATTATAACTGGGACACCCTGTATAATTGTTTTCAAAATTTGCATTTTTTTTTTTGAATTAAAAATTTTATTATTTTCAAAACAATAAGGGTAAAATATTCTTAACATATCTAAAATCCTCAGTAATGACGACATACATGATAATTCCGGTGGAAAGGCTTAAGTAAAAAAAGTGTTTCGACAAAAGTTGCATAATTTTCCCGAGGAAATTGTAGGATGACCTTGAATTTACCTTTGTGGTCGAATTTCAAAGTTATTTCAAGGTTAAGTCAGCCTCTTTGAATAAAAACCCTTATTGTTAACTCCGGATTATAAGGGCGGTTAGAATTGTACGTTTGGCCATACCCTACTAAAGTATTAAAGGTCATTTAAGGTAATTCCAAGGTCAAAAAGTAAAATAATGGATTTTCTATTTTTCTCTTTTCAATTTAAAGCTTAAGGGAGAAGTCATTGTATAAAACAGATATGGATAACTAAACACTGACATTAAACTTTACCTCGGTGGTAAGGTGAAAAACCTTTTACAATGTAGGAATAATGGAATATTAACCTTCCATCCTAAGCTCTAAGTTGGAAAAAAATCATTACATTGACTTATGATCTTGGAATATAATAGGGTGTAATACCCCAATGTAGATTTTAAACAGATTTTGCACATTAATTTGAGGTAACTTATACCGAAAAAAGAATTGAGAATGAATTTTCAAATTAATATTTAATATTAACCACTGGAAATTTCGATGTGTTATCCATAATTAAAACGTTTACTTCCAAATTAAGAAAACTATTGGTGTTAAAAGATTTCTTGCCTTGCTATTTTGGAAAGAATCTTTTCAGCATCCCTATATCTTCCTTGGGCTAAAAGCCACCGAGGACTTTCCGGTAAAAGCTTATACAGCGTGAATAAGAGAAGGAAGGGCAGGGTAGTGGTTAATGATAGATTTCTCCAGTCTCTAACTGCCCACACTATTATTGCTAATGATACCAACGCTAAGGAGTATGCAATGTTGATAAGAATTGTTACCAATGTTCTATAACGAGGTCCAACCAATTCGATAGCTAAAATAAAATTTATCGGTTATTACTGAGAATGTATCTTGCGACTTTCTCCTTATTAATAAATATCTAAGTTAGGGGTGCGAGAAATTCAGAACAATTAGCTTAACTTTCCATGCATTTAAAATCTTAACTAGAATCCTACAGAGAAGGATAAGGAACATATTAGGAGAAGATTGATTTGGGTTTAGAAGAAATAGAGGAACGCGGAAGGTCATTTAAGGGTAACAACACAGAAAACGAAAGAAAAGGGAAAGGGCGTGTACATAGTCTGGGATTCGTAGATTTAGAAAAAACTTTTGACAATGATAAATGGGACATGATGTTAAATACATTGGAAAATTTAAGAATGAGATGAGGCAAAAGAATGACATATAATTTGTATAAACAGCAACTTGTAGAACTTGAGCAGAAACGTAGAGAAGTAAATATAAACATCATTAAAGAGAGTACAATTTTAGGGATAGATATAGAGGGGCAAAATATTAGTATGCTTAGATTTGTAGATGATATACAAACAAAAATATTAGTATGCAAGGGAACATAAAGACTGAATATAAAGATAGGAGACGAAAGATTAAAAGAAGTTGCTAATTGCCGGTATCTAGGAAGTCAGATAATTCAGGATGGAAGAAACAGTAGAGATATAAATAAAAGTAGGAAAAAGACAATTTTAATGTAGAAATTCGAAACAAACTGTTAAGGTTGTGTTTGGAGCACGACTCTATACGGGCGCAAAATATCGAGGGTAGGCACAGCGGAAAAGAAAAGGTTAGAAACGTTCGAAATGTGGTGTTACAGATGAATGATGAGGATAAAAATGTTCAGTCTCTCAGAGTCTCTGAAAGCGAGACTCGAGTCTCCGTCTCTCATCGAGTCTCTCTGGTGTCGCTGAGAGAGACTGTCGAGAGACTGTCATAAAAACTGTTTAGCGTCTCTGAACGAGAGACTGGAGTCGCTCATAGAGAGATCCTCATTTCGTATCCAGTCTCTGAACGAGAGACTCGAATCTCTGAACGAGAGACTCGAATCTCTCAATAAGTGGTGTCTCGATAGACATGGTTAAAATTTTCTAAGTTCAACATATTTCAGAGATCCCAGTCTTTCTACGGGAGACTCGAGTCTCTCAATTTTTCAGTTTTATTCATTGAGTCTCTCTGTGAGAGACTCGAATCTCTCAATTAACGATTTTATCGTTCGAGTCTTTCATACAGAGACTGTGAGAGATCCATAAAAACACCTAGGCAATAATTGAGAGACTGTAAAAGACTATGAGAGACGCTCTCAGAGACACTGAATGACTCTGAGAGAGGAGAGAGCGACTGAAAATTTTTTTCTAGGGGAGGTATTAGAAAGAATAGGAGAACAGAGGATTCTATGGAAGTCAATAAGAAATAAGTGAGATAGGTTGGTAGGATACCTTCTTAGGCATTAAGGTTTAGTTAGAGACACATTAGAAGCAGAAACAGGAGTTAAGAGTAGAGGTAGACGTGAACTAGAATACTGTTAGCAAATACTTAAGGATTGGGGATGTTATAGTTTCAGAAAATTACGAAGATTAGCTCAGGATAGGAGTAAGTGGAGGAGCGTGTCCAACTAGTCTTGAACTTTTTAGATGATAGTGATGATTTATCGAATAGTGTAACAGAAACTTTGTTCCTACAGGGTGTCGCACGATCACACACAGCTTTTCAATATCGATTTGAATTTTCCAGAAATTAGACGATCTCGTCATGACTACACTGTTTGCTTATCGTCGAATTTCCGGAAAATTCAAACCAATACTCAACTTATTATAATAAAACAATATGCTTGTGGTAAATGCAACCAGTTTATGGTACAGTCAGACGGCAATGGTCTTTCGATAGCTTTATGTCTTTAATTTATGTCTCATCTAAAACCCTTACTTATTTGAGATTCATGCCATGCTCCAATTTGGGTTGTTTTTGCCCGGATTATATATAATGTGACATTCGTATTAAATGTTAGCAGCCATTGCATGCTTTTATCTTTTCAATATTATTAATAGTTCTATAAGATCTACAATCATTAGGAATTAATTCGTGGACTTACCTAAAACATATGGGGTTCCAAGTATTGCGGGTACCGTGAAACCTACCCCAACCCTAAACGCTATCCAAACATAATAATTAGTCGCAAAAGTTGTGGCAAACCCAAAAATAGATTGGATCGTAAGGTAGATATAGAACGACGGTTTTCTACCGAGCCTGTCTTGGGCATAACCAAATATGTAATTTCCTATTAAACCACCTACTCCGAACAATACCAGCGCCAGTGTCACAGAGAAATCGTTCTCGCAAACCAAGTCCCACTGGAAATCGTTAACAAAGACAGTGCCTTAATTGCAACGACAATTTAGATGTACCTTACATCCATTACAACCGTGTTCGTAAACTTTGATCTGTCGTAGTTCCATCCATATTTGCAAGGGATCTGTTTTTGTTCGAAATTATCGTCTAATAATGTTGTCTCGTTGTCTGACGAAGACGCGTTATTATAATCAATGCTGAACATTTTACATTTGCTGTAATGCATTTTACCATCTTTTTCTATTGTTGGAATGCTGAAAGTTATAGTTAGGTAGATACCTATCACTGTTTGTGTTTCTGATTGAAAATCTGTTGTACTTTACAAGAAATGAATGGGTAATGTAAGGCAATGGATATTCGATAAATTTTTCGGTGGTTTCTGAATTAAAAATTTGCATTTATATTAAACATGACGGACGGTGGGTGCGGTGGAAAAGAAAAGGTTAGAAGCGTTCGAAATGTGGTGTTACAGGCGATTGATGAGGATACTGTGGATAGAGAAGGTTAAAAATGAAGAGGTATTAGAAAGAATAGGAGAACAGAAGACTTTATGGAAGGCGAGATAGGTTGGTAGGACACCTTCTCAGGCATGAAGGTCTAATCAAAGACATATTAGAGGCAGAAACGGGAGTTACGAGGGGTAGAGGTAGACTTCGATTAGATTACTGTTCGCAAACAGTTAAGGATGTGGGTTGTTCTAGTTTTAGGCAATTGTGAAGATTAGCTCAGGATAGGAAAGAGTGGAGGTACGTGTCCAACCAGTCTTAGGACTGACAACATTAAGATGATAATGAGGTTGATAGGACACCTTCTCAGGCATGAAGATCTAGTCAGGGACATATTAGAGGCAGAAACGGAAGTTAGGACGGGTAGAGCTAGACCTAGATTAGATTACTGTTTGCAAATACTTAAGGATGTGGGAGTTACAGTTTTAGGGAAATGCGAAGATTAGCTTAAGATAGGAAAGAGTGAAGATACGTGTCCTACCAGTCTTAGGACTGACGACTTTATGATGATTTGTATTAATATAAGATATATATGCTTTCAAACATTACTAGTTCGCTTTAAGAATAGTTATTTGTATTTAGGTTTAGTAGGTACTTTTCTTTTTATCGGACATGCGAAGATAGCATATTTATCAAAATAGAATTGTGTAAAATAAATATATAACAACAAATAACTTTAATAACGCTTATATAGATGCTTACTAAAACTTTGTTGGAAGATCATCCAAAAAGGATTGTAATGAAATNTTTAAAACGTGCCTAACAATAAGTGCGGTAATTTCGGCTTCGCTCCGCGTGGCAGAAATTCACACTACGCCACTGACGGTACCCTAAAATTGGATACTTAAAATGGGGAACCCTATTACACGTCCGGATTTAAAACGTGCCTAACAATAAGTGCGGTAATTTCGGCTTCGCTCCGCGTGGCAGAAATTCACACTACGCCACTGACGGTACCCTAAAATTGGATACTTAAAATGGGGAACCCTATTACACGTCCGGATTTAAAACGTGCCTAACAATAAGTGCGGTAATTTCGGCTTCGCTCCGCGTGGCAGAAATTCACACTACGCCACTGACGGTACCCTAAAATTGGATACTTAAAATGGGGAACCCTATTACACGTCCGGATTTAAAACGTGCCTAACAATAAGTGCGGTAATTTCGGCTTCGCTCCGCGTGGCAGAAATTCACACTACGCCACTGACGGTACCCTAAAATTGGATACTTAAAATGGGGAACCCTATTACACGTCCGGATTTAAAACGTGCCTAACAATAAGTGCGGTAATTTCGGCTTCGCTCCGCGTGGCAGAAATTCACACTACGCCACTGACGGTACCCTAAAATTGGATACTTAAAATGGGGAACCCTATTACACGTCCGGATTTAAAACGTGCCTAACAATAAGTGCGGTAATTTCGGCTTCGCTCCGCGTGGCAGAAATTCACACTACGCCACTGACGGTACCCTAAAATTGGATACTTAAAATGGGGAACCCTATTACACGTCCGGATTTAAAACGTGCCTAACAATAAGTGCGGTAATTTCGGCTTCGCTCCGCGTGGCAGAAATTCACACTACGCCACTGACGGTACCCTAAAATTGGATACTTAAAATGGGGAACCCTATTACACGTCCGGATTTAAAACGTGCCTAACAATAAGTGCGGTAATTTCGGCTTCGCTCCGCGTGGCAGAAATTCACACTACGCCACTGACGGTACCCTAAAATTGGATACTTAAAATGGGGAACCCTATTACACGTCCGGATTTAAAACGTGCCTAACAATAAGTGCGGTAATTTCGGCTTCGCTCCGCGTGGCAGAAATTCACACTACGCCACTGACGGTACCCTAAAATTGGATACTTAAAATGGGGAACCCTATTACACGTCCGGATTTAAAACGTGCCTAACAATAAGTGCGGTAATTTCGGCTTCGCTCCGCGTGGCAGAAATTCACACTACGCCACTGACGGTACCCTAAAATTGGATACTTAAAATGGGGAACCCTATTACACGTCCGGATTTAAAACGTTCCTAACAATAGACCATTGTCTGGCAGTAACAAAAATAAGGTTTACGAGTGTGATTTTTGCGTTGAAAGATAGGTTTCCTATTTTGAATAGGTACTTATCCTCTTTTCAAATTTGAAATAATGCAATAGCAAATTCCAATAGTTTCAAAAGAATTATTAAAATATGTTTTATTTACACAAAAAAGTTGAATAAGAAAGTATCCAAAACTAATAGTAACAGTAGTACCTTAAATTTTTTGCTATTTCCATCTGTATACCATTCAATTCTGGTATTTTGCACCAGTGATCAGGTACAGCTGCCATGAACAGTTGGTTGTAAGCGTGGAATCCGCATGGAAATGTACTGGGAAGTAATATGAACCAAAGAACTAGCTTTTGGTATTTTCCGTATTCTCCGACGTCACTAAAGACAGTGTCAATATCCATTTTTCGAAGAAAATGATCAATTAAAAAATAATAAGAACGAAAACAAAACGTGACGCACAAGAGGCGGTAGTGCAGGTCGACTGAATTAATTTTCGTAATCGTTCTTGCCACCAGTTTATTTCCTCTAATTTGATAATGGCATAATTTAATAAAGCTAATATGTTAATTACATGCATTTATGTTGTTCCTCTCTATTCAATTTTGTTGTTGTGTTAAGGGCATTCTCTGATGGAAGGTCCCCTTAGCAATGGTATTTATAATACTTTTCTACTGTTAAGTCACCACATTAAAATTCATACAAAAATATCAATTATCATTATCGTAAGATTGTTTTTAAATTTAAAACATCCCAAATCCTTAACTGTTTGTGAACAGTAATCTATAGGGTTGTTCGGAATGTCATTTCGTTTTTTTTTGTAGAAATGAAAGACAGTTTTTATTAATATTTAATTCGATTTTGCACATTTATAGTATTTGGAGTAAGGAATTGCTTCGTACTTTACATATTCTTTTATAGGGTTGTTCGGAAAGTCATTTCGTTTTTTCCCGACAGAGGATTTAATTGTATTCTTTTGCACCCAACTTCACATTTAAGACGCACAATTTTTATATGCTTTGAGAGCTCATATAGCAAGGCTTGTGTGTGAAAAATTCCAATTAATTCTACGCAGTAGTTTTTGGTTGGTGCCCTTTTAAATATGGAGAGCGATAAGCAGCATTTTCGACATATCTTACTGTTTTACTACAGAAAGGGTAAAAATGCTGTTCAAGCCAGAAAGAAATTGACTGATGTGTATGGAGAAGGTGTGTTGACAGTACGCCAGTGCCAGAACTGGTTCGCTAAATTTCGATCCGGCAATTTTGATGTCGAAGATGCACCACGTTCGGGAAGGCCGGTTGAAGCTGATAAAGACGCGATAAAGGCATTAGTTGATGTGAACCGGCGAATAACATACGTGAGATCGGATTGAGGTTAAATTTATCAAATTCAACAGTTTATGACCACTTTAAAGGCCTAGGATTATCCTCGAAGCTCGATGTATGGGTTCCCCATGTTCTCATAGAGAGAAATCTGTGCCGCCGCATTGACGTCTGCGATTCGCTTCTCAAACGGCACGAAAATGATCCGTTTTTGAAGCGCATCATCACTGGGGACGAAAAATGGGTTGTATACAACAACGTCAAACGCAAGAGGTCATGGAGCAAAAAAGATGAACCGGCTCAAATCATTTCCAAAGCCGATATTCACCAAAAAAAGGTGATGCTGTCTCTTTGGTGGGATTTTAAAGGAATCGTTTTTTTTTGAGCTTTTACCGGATAACACAACGATTAATTCGGAAGTCTACTGTCATCAGCTGGACAAACTGAATGATGCACTTCAACAGAAAAGGTCAGAACTAATCAATAGGAAAGGTGTAGTGTTTCACCAAGACAACGCGAGACCTCACACAAGTTTGGTCACTCGCCAAAAGCTTTTACAGCTTGAATGGGATACAATGCTACACCCACCATATTCTCCAGACCTGGCACCGTCGGATTATTATTTGTTCCGGTCACACCAAAATTTCTTCACCTCAAATGAGGAGGTCAAAAAACCCCTCGATCAGTTTTTTACCAGCAAAGACCAAAAATTTTATGAGCGTGGAATTATGCTACTACCAGAAAGATGGCAAAAGGTGTTGGACAAGAACGGTCAATATATAATTTAATAAAGCATTTGTTTATTATACGAAAACTGTCTTTCATTTTTACAAAAAAAAAACGATATGACTTTCCGAACAACCCTATACATGCATAATATATGTTCGTAATCTTCTTGATTTTACTTACAGTCCAAACGAAAAATTCTTTTCCTGTGGCTATTTAACCATGTGCATTATGGTTACATGAGGACTTTGAATAAAAACGTTTAAGTTCCCATATTATACGAACGAGGAGGGACGGTGTTCTTTGATAGTCGTTTTGATCGCTCGTTGTTTTGGCTCTTTAGTTTAATACTCCTAAGGGCTTTCTCATTTTCTCTCTCTCTTTTACTCGTTTACTGCTCATATTGCTTACTTATGGATACCTTCTTAGGAATTGCGAGAGAACAACGTCACCATCCTCGTCGAGGCGGAGTTGAGCACGTCCGGCATACTTGACCCCATAATTAGAGACGACGGATGAACCCAAAGAAGAATCTTGGCAATAGATCACATGCTTCTCTCTTGTACACGACGACGCTATTATGCACATCTTCGCTGTCTTGCACTCCCTCATCATCGTCACGAAACCATACACGAATT